AACATGAATAAACATCAGAAAGTATTTTATTTCAACCGTGGAACACACCATTTTTCAAGTGTAAGTCCACCGAAGTTAATCTACTCTCCTGTCTGATTTGCGATTAAGGCGCGCATTTACATATTTTCCGAGCCAACAATATAACTCGAAACCTATGAAAATGGTTTAAAAAAGCACATGGCGCCATAGTTTCATCATTTTAGAGTGTCACAGTGACCGTCTTTTTGCAGTAAAGGACCTGTCATAGTTTAATGAGTGGGAAGATGACATGAAGCGACGCGAGGTTAGCTGCATTGAAAACAGATGAGCGCACATGCATATACAGCTCCCGATCGGGGCGAAGTTCACGGGATTTTGTCCACAGAATGATAAGAGCACATGTTTAACATATTATATTATTATTTCACACTCAGTATTTTACCTTAAGTGCTGCAAGCCATGCATACAGCGACGGACACGACAGATTTTCTGGTATGCAAAACAAGTACTTTAAAGGAATTCCTTAGCTTATTGCCGTTACTGTGGCAGCCAACAACAGCACAGCTTAACCCTCCGCACGTTTTTGTATTTAGTTATATTGAAAAAGTTTTAATTCAGTCGATCTTTTTAACCCTGTTTTAACATGGATTTCTATGGAGACCGGCCGTAGCTGTCGGGCAAGATGGCAGATAGCAGCGGCGGCACATAATATACGCGTTCTGATTGGTCAGATCGCCTGTCATTCAAGCTCCCTGCGAACGGTCAATTGTGAACAAACCTGAATGTCCATCACAGCAGCGGTTCTCAAACCTGTCCTGGAGGACCCCTAGCCCTGCACATTTTGTATGTCTCCCTTATCTAACACACCTGATTCAACTCATCAGCTCGTTAGTAGAGACTGCATGACATGAATTGGGTGTGTCTGATAAGGGAGACATACAAAATGTGCAGGGCTAGGGGTCCTCCAGGACAGGTTTGAGAACCCCTGCTTTACAGTACACTGTGCCACTGAAAATTCAGCTTGTATGTGCAAAGCCATTTCTCACAACAAAAATTGGGAAATGTCTGACTGCCTTTTGCTAAAAAGACCAGCATGATGCTGGATGACCAAGGGAGGCTAATTAAGCTAGTTAAGATGCGTGATAGGGACACCAGCATCCAAAACTCGACATATGCTGGTGACCAGCAGTGCTGTGACGGTAGTAAATGATCTCATTTCAAGGTGTAGTGGATCAGACGAATGTGCTTTGATCTGCATTTCACACGCCATCAAGTTCTTGTTCTATAATTAGCTCTGGACGTACTTGACATCTTGTAAAACTTCAGGCAAGTGCTGAGTCAGAAACCTGGAGGATAGAAAATGTGCACATATGCACCGCAACTCTCTCATGGAATCATCTGTTGTCACCTGTCATTGCTGAGTCATTCAGAACGAGCCCAGCTGTCAGTGTACGTCCTGACACACGGTGGACGCGACATATCCACAGCTGCCATCTCTAGGGACGCTCACTCTTGGCTCAGAGATGAAGGAATATGCTGGAGGTTTCTCACAGATTGTGACAGGATACAAGGTGTATGGCGAATTGACGCTGTGGAAGAAAACTGCCTCAGCTATCCATCTGTCTCTGCAGGAGAGTACCAGCGAGCAGCTCTAATCTTTCATCTTCCCCATCTCTGGACATTTTTATCGAGCACATTCACTATTTCCTGATGCTAAAAGTGACAACTTTAGATTCTGTGTATTGTGAAGCACTGAGCAAAATCTCTGGTGACTGACAGTGAAGAGTAATTTATAGAAGATGTTTTTATCAAAAGCAAGAAATTGTACTAATTAATTATAACTAGTTATGATTAATTATTCATATTTCCCCATGAATGAGCTGATTCGCTACACTTATCAGAAGATGCTTCCCTTAAGGCAGCAGTCTTGAACTCAAGTTAACTGGGACTAGTTGTAAAGCTACAACAAATGCAAGTGCTTTTACAACTGTACATTTTAACTACACAGTTATACAGCTGGTGCTTGTAAATCAGGCAGCTATCAGTCCCATTAAGAGACCAGCAACATCATGATCTGGCTTTGATGTAATGGTCAGGGATTATTTAAATTCATACCAATTAATACACTACTGTTCAAAAGTTTGAAGTTCGTAAGAGCCTTGCTCACCAAGGTTGCATTATTTAATCATAAATGCAGTAAAATCGGTACTCTTGTAGCATGCATTTGTCAGTCTTAATATGGAATTGCATTTGAGTTTTATGAAAATAAAAATTGGTATAATGAGCTGCATGGAAGAAAAAAATTATTTGCAGGCTGGATTTTAAGTATAAACTATTCACACTTCTGGGGTCAACTTACTATTTGCTGGCAGCTTGAGATCCTTGACTAATAGGGCAACCTTCGAAGACTCAATATGGTATTCAACTTTCTGGTTACAATCCTTAACTTCCACAGTTTATGTGACAGTGATTTCATAATCTCTACCTGAACTTGATTTCTGATACAAGCAAAGCACGTCTCTTAGACATCACATAATTTTAAATATCTACCTTCCTGTGTTACGTGTTTCATATTTTAGATTATTGTTTGTCGTCATATTGAAGTGTTTCACCAGCGGTTGGCTAGAATTTAAGGGCATATTTGAGGGTTTCATGTTGAATACCTATTTTTGGTGTACACATTGGCCTCACTTCCAAGTGCTTAAGTGCTATGCCTTTAAAAGGCAAAGCAAACCCAACACTGAGACGTTAGCCGTTTTAACAGGTCTCTGAAAATAATGCAATTAAATACCTCACTAAGTTGAACAATCAAATCAGGAATGTGATAGCCTACGCACATTTGATGACGTTTTTTTGGAAAATACTAATCAGTCTAAGGTGTTTCTATTCCAGCAATCCTGTTTTAGATGCTACTCTGAAAGAGAGTTTCATAACAGTGTGCTTTTACTTATTTAATAAGGTATTTAAACAGCTTTCGTTAAAGTACTTTTTCCTATCCCAGTTAAAGTCATTTATTAAGATTGAAGGGGTTTATGAAACCTGTTTTAAAACACAAACTTGTTATTTATTTATTTAGGTATTTATTTATTTGCAATTTTGCTGCTAGTGTCAGAAATGACCTCACCTCTAAGGTTACAAATTAAGTCTTCAGAGGTCTTCTAAAGCACATAAAATTAATAAGAAGCCATTATATCGCTACAAAAACAATAAGCATCATGTTTTAAAGAGATAGTCCACCCAAAAAGGGAAATTTTGTCATCACTTACCCTCATTTTGTTCTAAACCTGTGTGAGTGTTCTTCATTTTGAAGAACATTTTTCAAAATATCTTTTGTTCTATATAAAGCAAGAAAGAAATGCAGGTTTGAGTAAACATGAAGGGTGAGTAAATTTACACTCACGTATTTGGCAGACACATTTATCCAAAGTGAATTATATTGCATTCAATGTATGCATTTTATGAGTTCTAGCTTTTCCTAGGAATCAAAACCATGACCTGGTCATGCTAGTGCCATGCTCTACTGTTTGAATAAAAAATTCAATTATGACAGAATTTTCATTTGGGGTGAACAATCCTTTTAAGTCTGCATGGTGAAGGTTAGAATGCAGGTAAATACATGTGATTTGGGAAAGTCCTCTCTTTAACAGATGAGGCTGAGAGTGCTAAGGGTTACCAAGACCCAGCAGGACCGATTACTGAATTGAGAGACAAGCTGCAGATATAATTGCTTTCATCAGTTCCTCTCCTGCACAGGAAATGAATATTAAGTGTCATAACAGACTCAGCCAATCTGTCTCTCCAAAACGATCCAGTTCTGGCTGAGCTGATTGGATGATGATCTGTGAGGTGTTCCTAGTCCAAAGACTGCCATGTCCCATAAAGAATACAATGACGTTCATCCTGTCAGTGATATGCTGACATTATTCGCAATCGTTCTCTCACGGCCCTGATAAGATTGATATTGGTGGAACAGGTCTTGCTTGTTTCTGGCACAGTAAAAGTAAAAAAAAAAACATTCCTGCTCGACTTTCTTTGTCCTCTATGAAGACATATGAATTATTCATGTTTTGTCATTTGCCAGTGGACAGAATTTAAATATTTATCCCTTATTAATTTACCTTGTTTATTTTTTGTCTTTCAGGAAATGTTCGAAGCGCTCTTCCTCGCGTATGATGAGGGTGTGACGTTCCAGCAGTTTAAGAGCTTCCGACGTGTACGAATCAATTTCAGTAACCCCAAAGCGGCAGCCAGCGCTAGAATAGAGCTGCACGAAACACCTTTCAGAGGAAAGAAACTTAAACTCTATTTTGCCCAGGTGAGAAGTGGCTTCAGTTGCCCAAAATTTCTAGAATCTCTGCATTTCTAAGAAGGGTACATTTAGGGTACATTTACATAAAGTACGTTTAGGAGTGACATGTAGACAACAGGTTAAGATACAAACTATGCATTCGTCAAGTAATATGGTGCTTTTGCCTGATTAGATCTGAATCAGAGTTGATTAAAAAAAGTATACAATGCTGCTCTAAGTGTGCAATTTCTCTGCACCAAATGGAATCACGAATTACTAGAAAAGACAAAAACTTTTTTATAGTGCCATGCTTAAACATTTAAAAAAAAAAATTAATAGAACGAACTACAGAACGATACTGAGACATTAGGGAGTCTTTTTTATGTGAGACTGAGACATTAGGGAGTCTTCTTTATGTACATTTGATCATACATCATGTGTATCGTAATCCTTCTGTAAATCATGTCAGGGTCTCTAACCCTTCGCAGTGAGCAGGAAATGAACTCATATTCAGGATGAGACAACTCCAGTAGGGCATAATCCACTGGCTGGAGCAGACAGCTCTGAAATAGATGCATTCTGATAGCTGGTATTAGCCGCTTGCCAGAGTAACTGCCCAAATCAGGCTGACATGGTTGTTGCAAAATGAGGGTACAAAAGAAGGACATCTTGAATATATGTGTGCAGTGTATTGCGGGGTTATTTGCCATTCAGAACTGAGCTGAGAAACATAATATAGAACTGCAATTTAAAGGATGTAGAATTAAAATAAATTTAAATTCAAAGGCATTCATGTAACTCATTTTTACAAAGCCTTTTCTGAAAGTTAAATAAAAATAAAAAAAAGCTTTGAAGTTTAAAGATTTATAGGCTTTATGGATAGACAGAATGATAGAATGATAGAACGACAGAACGATAGATAGAACGATAGATAGATAGATAGATAGATAGAATGTTTGAACAATACATGCTTGAACGTCTGAATAAATAAGATTTCCATTGATGTATGATTTGTTAGGATAGGGCAATATTTGGCCGAGATACAACTATTTGAAAATCTGGAATCTGAGGGTGCAAAAAAATACTGTGGCATGGTATATGAAAATATTGAGAAAATCGCCTCTAAATTTGTTCTAATTAAGTCCTTAGCAATGCATATTACTAATCAAATATTAAGTTTTGATATATTTACAGTAGGAAATTTACAAAATATCTTCATGGAACACGATCTTTACTTAATATCCTAATGATTTTTGTCATAAAAGAAAATTAGTTAATTTTGACCCATACAATGTATCGTTGGCTATTGCTACAAATAGCTATACCTGTGCTACTTATGACTGGTTTTGTGGTCCAGGGTCACATTTGCTAATGACTACTTGAGAAACATCTGGATTGATCCCAGCATCAAAGTCAGGTCTTTGTTTGACTGCATCCTGGACTAACATACTCTCTGGCTCTTAGGTGCAGAATCCAGCATCCGAAGGAGACAATTTGCACCTGGCTCCTCCCCAGCCTTCCAAACAGTTCCTCATCTCTCCTCCAGGCTCACCTCCAGTTGGCTGGCAACAGATTGACGAGGCCACACCAGTTATTAACTACGACCTGCTATATGCAGTTGCCAAGCTTGGCCCAGGTCAGTTACAACTCACCAGTCTTTTCTCTCAAACTTTGCCTTTTGGCACCATTATCCTGGTCCATCATGCAATGGTATGAACGGTCATACCCACACCTGAACTCTGAAGTTCAGGCTTGCGTGCTGGGACGTCACGTAGCGTGTGCTACAAATCCTTATCCTCTCAAATCAAGCACATCCATTACTCACTCGGTTAGCCATTGTCTTGAATTATCTTCTTCGCTGCACTGCAGGTGATTACGTCCACCATCCTGCTTCTAATCAATGCGCGCTCTTCTTCGGCTGACCTTCAGGGGTGTGTATGTGTGTGTGGGCGACTCCCACTGTGCCCTGATGAGCGGTTACTGTAGTCAGTGCTTCTGGAGCTGTAATGTGTTTTGATTAAAGCGGCTGTGTAGAAGCTTGTTTATCTGGGTGTTTGACAGGGCAGACGGGGGGCTATGTTTGGTATGGACCACACACACTTTCATACAGTGGGCCTGTGAGTGCCCTGGCCCTCATGGGAACAGCTCAGCCATCTTGGAGCAAATAAGCACATTACAAAGCACCATTGGGTGACCTTTTCAGTGATTCTGGGTATCTCCAGTTTCCAATTAACAGTTTTTTTGTTTGTTCGTGTATTAAATTACAGATGATGACAGTTCTTCCATAACATTATGTAACTCTGCAGTTAGGTTAGCCATAAATCATCTTTGTCCTTGTCTTTCCATTGTCCACCGCTATTGTACCCTTACGGGAAAAAAAACACATTGTGGTGGTACTATGATAGCAGATGATAATTTTATGATATAACCATCATGGTGTTGTCCAACAAGCTAATTAATACAGGAGACATTTTACAAAAAGCTTCTCAATGTTAACATTAAATAATTAATAGGTAATATGAACTAACAAATATTTTTAAAGGATTTATCAGTCTTACTAAATGTTAATTTCTACACATTTCAAGTTGTATAAATTAATTCATCTTTTGCACATGCTGCACTGTAAAAGTGACTTCTTAATGAGTTTATTAGAATTAATTAATGAGAATTAATGTTTTTCCAGCAAAAATATTGAAGAAAAAAAATTTGAAGCAAAAACAGAATGTTCTGACTTTAGCAGAAATCAAAACTACAAAAGAAATTATAACTGTTTTAAACACTTTTGACCTGATTCGGCATGTGCATGGACCCACACACAATCGTGGACACACTCTAGAGGTCTACTCATCAGTAGAGGTCTAAACATTTCATCCATTGTTATTACGGATGTAGCACTATCTGATCACTTCTGTATTTTCTTTGATATATTGATCTCTGCTACCACTGAATCTAGATCTGTCTCTGTCAGAAAGAGATGTATTAACGAGAACACTAGTGTACTATTTATGAATGCTATATCTTTAACACCAAGCACTTCTGCAGACTCTGATGATCTTCTCCTTGATTCCTTTAACTCAAAGGTTAAGAATGTTATTGATGATATTGCTCCTGTAAAAGTCAGTAAGAAGACTGGCAGACAAAAATCACCTTGGAGAAAATCAACAGCAGTACAGAGTATGAAAAGACAATGCAGAAAAGTTGAGCGGATGTGGTGTAAGACGAAACTTGAAATTCACTATAGCATCTATAAAAACAGCCTTCATGCTTTCAATGTGGAACTAGCCACAGCTAGACAGACCTTCTTCTCAAACCTTATAAACAGTAGCTTAAACAACACTCGCACTTTTTTTTGCTACTGTTGAGAGACTAACAAACCCCCCAAGTCAGATTCCCCGTGAAATGCTCTCCGAAAGCAAATGCAATGAGTTTGCTTCCTTCTTTTCTGAGAAGATCAATAATATCAGAAAGGCGATTAGCACATCCTCAAGTTATGCAGAGGTCAGACAGATTTGACCGCAATTTCAAAAATAAATTACTATGTCTGTTTTTGAAGCAATTGATGGCAAAATTTTGGAAGAAATAGTACAGCACCTTAAATCGTCAACCTGCTATCTTGACATACTTCCCCCATCTTTTTTCAAAAGTGTGCTTAACTGTTTAGAAGCAGATCTCTTAGAAGTGGTGAACGCCTCACTTCTTTCTGGGACATTTCCTCCCTGAAAACTGCAGTTGTTAAGCTCCTTCTGAAAAAGCCTCGCTTTTCAGACCGATGAGCTTTGTATGATAATGATATTCGCTTAAATTCTGATTCTGGAAAAATATCAGTGCTGGTACTACTAGATCTTAGTGCTACGTTTGACACATACTTCTAGAGAGACTGGAAGACTGGGTCGGGCTTTCTGGGATGGTACTCAAATGGGTCAGGTCATACTTAGAAGGGAGAGGTTATTATGTGAGTATAGGAGAGCATAAGTCTAAGTGGACATCCATGACATGCGGAGTCCCACAAGGCTCAATTCTTGCACCGCTCTTGTTTAGCCTGTATATGCTCCCACTAAGTCAAATAATGAGAAAGAACCAAATTGCCTATCACAGCTATGCTGATGATACCCAGATTTACCTAGCCTTATCTCCAAATGACTACAGCCCCATTGACTACAGCCCCATTGGCTCAAAATCTGAGCATATCACACCAGTCCTCAGGTCCTTACACTGGCTTCCAGTTATATTTAGGATTGATTTTAAAGTACTTTTACTCGTTTATAAATCACTCAATGGCCTAGGACCTAAATACATTGCAGATATGCTCACTGAATATAAACCTAACAGACCACTCAGATCACTAGGATCGAGTCAGTTAAAAATACCAAGGGTTCACACAAAACAAGGGAA